CGAATAAACTGATAGTGAGACCACTTTAATTCTTCAGTGAGTTTCAAAATTAGTAAGGAATTGACACAAATATGATTGTTTCATTTTTCAACACTTCGAAATGATTAAAAATAAATATCAAATAATACTTACATTTTCAGCTAAATGAAATGAATGATCGACATGAGAAAGAAGCTAACCCGCATACCATTCGTGCTCAGATTATTGCATCCCAGTTACAAAATATGTCAAGAGAAACAACAATAACTCATACAAAACATGAAGATGGCTTTGAAAAATGTACAAAGGAAAAAAGTAGTGAGTCTACTGATCATAAAGGTGGTCCATACACCAAAGGAATGACACCAGAAGAACGGAAACAGTTTTTCAGAACAAAATTAAATCAGAAAGCTCGTGAAGGTTTTAGATTTTGGGTAACCGAACGGCCAAAACCAACAAAATGTAAGCGTAAACATTTATCTATATTAATGCTTACATTAAGCAGTAATCATCTATGGAATGATATATTCCTATATGTGTGTTATTATACATTGATATATTTGTAGTGTATTTCAAATAAAAGAGTATTAAATTAAAGCTAAAACATATGTTACCTTAAGCAATGGTTAAGAGAAAGTTTAGATCAAATAGAATAGATGCATTTCAATGTAGCTTCATTGTTTATTAGTTATCATAACTTATTATTCGTAAGAACTAATGAAGTGTAACCATTGGAAGAGTTTAGTCTGAAGGTGAACTAAGTCAGTGGATATATCTTGCTACAAAGTACAGAAAGGATTACATCCAAAACGAAATTTTAGCAATACAGTTAGCTCGCAAACCTCATCCATTAAAATAGTGGTAGTTGAATATTTTGAACAGCTAACATATTTATCTTGAAACTTGATCTACTCTGTTCACACAATGATATTCAGAAGCACTAAAGCAGATTAGTAATATCCATGTGGGGCGTGCAAATTATGCTCACAGATATAAATAGAATTTAGCAGTAATAGGAAGTGGAATGCCTACCAGTAGAACATTGAATTAAAGAGAACAGGAAATGTAATGAATGAAGATTCAAATGGGGGACAACTAATTTATTACAAAACTACAAAATATCTTGGTAAAATATGGGAACCATACATTGAATACTTCACTTCGATCATTTGTCCTTCACACTCTATTCTTCCATTTCACAATTTCTTTCTATTACCCTTTCTATTCTCTTCAATTCGATCTTCTTAGCCTTCTGCTGCCAGTTTTTCCACTTCCGATTGGTGTTACATACTACTTGTGTCTATTGATATAATTAACTTACACTACAAAAGGACAGCTGAGTGAAAATGTGCAAATGATGTATTGAATGTATAGTTTTCATATTTTACGAAGGCACTCCGTAATTTTGCATCAAACAATAAATTGGTTATCCCCACCACGTATTCGTTCACGACCCCTGAAAAAGTGGTTTGGGATTTTTCTATCATCTGAATGTTGCAGTCTCAGTAGTTTGAATGAAAAAGTGTTGAAAGAGCTTCAAAGAAAAAAATTTGGAAACTTAAACACCTTTTACCGACAAGCGTGTCAATAATAGCTGTCCACAGTGCTACTATACTATAACATCTTACGCCAAGTTATCAACAGAAAGGCCAACATGTTTTTGGTGTAATCAATGTTTAAAAACCAGTACTATCGAGCCTATTACCAGTAGGCCCTTTAAAATCCACAATTGATAAGGCTGATATCGACGTGCCTTCAATAACCCCTACCTTCGTTGATTATTTCTAATAGTTCGCCAAGTTCTTCCTAAACATCCAACTTAATTTTGTAAAAATTTCTTTCTCGAAAAACCAGCCTGTACTAATTAAATCTAATTAACACTCAATGAGCAAATAATACTTTTATTCCTGCCATGACAATCAGCAGCAATATGAATTGTGATAATACATCTCCTCCTTGCCATGTGAGCTGAATGTTTCCGCCGTAACTTGTAAAATATGATAACTTGGTGAATTCTTCACCACCTACATCTTTTTTAAATAGGTGAGTTTGAGTTTAGGAACGATTAGTATACACTTTAACATTAAAATACATCGGCTTGTGATGTACGTTTTGCAGAAGATAACTGACGCAGAAATAGTCGATTCGCTCATTTTGCTTAAATAATGACAATAGAGACCAAACTATGTTTTCTAGATTTCGGTGAAATCAAAGTTTTTAACCGTTACAAAAAAATAATAAGCAGTAACCACCGAAATTTAAACTGCCTGTAGAACTATCATATTGAGCACGTTTTATCTACCAGTTTGCTTGGGCACAACTTTATATTGGAAGATATAAGCTCATAAAGTCTCAAAGCTTTATATCAAGATAAATATGGCTAAAAATCTAGTTACATTTCCTGTCCAACAGGTCTATTTATCTTTAAGCTATAACCATCCGAATCAACTACTCTTGATGATTTTGATTGGTATTTTCTATTTTGTTTTTACGTAACAAGTAAATGAAAGGCATGACTTCATACGTTAGCATGCACCTCGAAGTTTCCCCAGATTATAGTAAAGTTAATATATGTGAAACCAGCTATACATGCTCTGAGAATCCAACAGAAACTACCAACCTCATCCTTAACCATACATAAACCTAGCTATATGAAATAAATTCCGTCACCATTAATATTATTAATTATAAAATAATATCCATGACTTTTAATCACTTTTCGACAATTACTGTTTTATTCTTTCAGTTGGCCATTACTCAATGGGAGCCAAATATACTTTCCTCGGATTATGCAATGCCCCGAGAAGTTGAATATTTCATTGTATTGTATTGTTGGTTTCCAATAAAAGACACTCAATTCCTTTTTAGTAAAATGTGCTATGTTAAATAAACAACTACGCGCAAACGCTGCCTTAGTTTACTACCTGGATTGGATGAAAAATTACTAAATGAAACTAGAACTTATAGTAGAATATTCATCAGCATACACATACCAAAAATTAGTCTCAAAGACGAAATAGTGATTAGACTGATATTACACAAATCTGAAATTGGTTGAATGTTAACTGTGCAGGCAACTAACTAGTTTAGCTTTCACTAACTTTACTAGGTCAAGTAACCAGCTTTTTTTAGTCAGTGAAGAGTATATGAAAAAGTGATCCGAGTATACGAGATGTAGTACGCAATAAAATGACCTCAATGAAAATTGGTTACAATAAGATAAACTCAACAATTGTCTTCATTTGATACATGAGGTCATACCCCTCAGTGTAACTGGTCAAAATGTGATTGCCATAAGAGATTCGACATATGTGATTAAGCTTGTTTCTTGAAAGCAAAACTATGAACTCCCCACTTCGATTTATATTATGAGTTTGAATAAATATTAAGTCATTTAAGCCATAGGCTTAACAAGTCCTTTCACCTCGATGTGTAAATCAAAGTAAACAATTATCAACAAAAATCATAAACATAATCTACACTTTATTTAAAATACATGTTTCCTTCATAGGTTTCTACTGAACTACTCAACTAGGGGGGGGCGATCAATGTCGAATAGATCTGTAACCCAAGTTAGAAATATACAATTTCCTTACTTGCAAAGCAGATTGACTATGAAGTCAAGTCACCGTGGTAAGATTTGCAATAAATGTTTCGGCATGAATTTACCATTTACACAAAAATTGTAAAAGTAATAGGATCATACTCTTAACACCTGCTAAAGAGATACAATTGGAAAAGATGTTCCATTGAAAATGGTTGAAGCATATCATCAATTCCAATACTCATATGAAAGTCTGACTTCCCATTTCTTGCATTCAACAAGAAACTTTTGAGTTAGATAATCAGTTATAAAAAGCTTTTCAAAGCACACATTTTAAGTAATATACACAATCACTGATACGAAGTTGGTTCTAGAAGGATTCATATATCTTATTGAAAAAATCACTATTATTCAATCCCGTATTTATGGTAACGTATCATGTCCAAATGCGACCAGACTGTTCTAGAGCTTAAAAAACTAAATGTGAATTAATCACTCTCGAAACTCCGTACATTTTTGGTTAAAGCAATTAAAATTGGCTCGTTTTATCACAAAAATATTGTGCTGCGAGGATCCCGTTGATTCGGTCTTATAATCGTAATTCAGTTGATTGTGGGTGATTGAACACCTAACAAACAAATCCCTGTATATTAAACCCTCATATAGGCAGGAGTCTCAACGTGCGTATTTTACACTAATAATTTTGGACTGAATTAGTTACAAGTTCATAATTATCATGATATTTTACAAAGGCCAAAATAAAGCATGTATTAATGAATTTGACAATGTTATATGTCAAAAATGGTCAAATATAATTTTCTCAACTAAATCAGCACTTACACAATAAATCTAGGATAGGTTAACGATAATGGGCTCCTTCATGTGTGTATACCGATTCGACTGCTCCTGTGAAGCTAGTTACATTGGCTGTACTCAGAAGGCTTTACCCTTGCATGTTCATAAACATGTACCAGTATGGTTGGAAAAATGAGTTACTAAATAGGTCAACAGTACTATTTTTTTCATTTGGTAGATAGTGAACATCACATCAAAATAGAGGGGGCTTTTTCTGTTTCATATCAAATTCCGAAGAATCTACATCAAGCAGCTAGATTACCGCTACTCTACATAGCTGAAGCCATCTGGATCAACTCCATAAAACCGAACTTATATAACCAGAAAAGATATAAACAGCCTTTATGTTTGCCGTGGCCTACTACTGGATCACCGGATACCTAAACTGAATATTATTATTATGACTTTGACACTTCGACTCATTCTCACCTTTATTAAATTACCTTGTTAATATACAAATAACACAAATTTGAAGTATATATGTCGTAACTGATGCAAACGTTCACCATTTTTACCATAACATTGTCGACTTCATTAATATATGCCTTATTTTGGCTTTTGTAAAATAATATAATTATGAACTTATAACTGTAGAGCCTGATGATGAAGTTATTGAAAACAATTGTTCGCTCAAATATTCTTCATTTTTGAATTAGTTACCTACATGGAAAATACTGTAATAGTTAAGAAAGTTATCTGCATACTAAATGACTGTATATTGTACTCAGAAAGTAAATAAGAAAGAAGAATAAGCATATTCTACAAAAATCAATATAATCAAATGATTAGTATATACAGATCGCAATAAACGGAACAGAACAGTTATCGTCTCTTCCCGAATCCTCGACTTTTTGGCCTTCCAGGACGCCCAACTTTATTCTTACGCTTTCCATGCTTTTTTCCATCTTTAGCTTTTTGCTGTCCACGTAAATCTGCTTTCATTCTTTTATCTACAATTTTGACTTTAGCCCCTTTTTGAGGTTTAGTTCCCCCGCTACGCGAACCAGCTTTTGTATTTACAATTACATGAAGAGGGCGACGCTTCTTTTTCAACAGGCCGGCTTTCTTATAAAGTCTAAGTGTAGAAATGAAAATGATAACTAAATGGTCACACACAGTGAACTAAATTTATTGATGAGCAACTTATGGGTTAAATATGTTAAAAATTTATCAAAGGTACTGATTTGTCTACATACATCAACAGCTTATGTTCGAATACCGTGTAACAAATATGCTTACAGACAATCTTTGTATAAACAAGCTGAATCCAACGTAACAGTTGGATGCTTTTTAAATTAACTAATATGTTATGTAATTATCTAAAACAAAGGTACATTGTTACTAGGGGTTCGCAATTTCCTGTTCATATCTGACGAACAAGTTAGTCGTTTGGATAATGCGTTGGAAGCTTGAGGTTCAAGGTTACGGGTTCAACGCCGAGGTGAAAATACACTCAGCTGATGACTACTGGGCGGGACGAAACACGTGTCCTGGATTCTACTGCTAGGCATATACCAAAATATAAACTGGATGAAATTACACTGATATTAAGTAGCTGAAAATCCATGCAACTCAACAATTAAGAACAGATTAATGTAGCTGGCTTTAATTCACATTTAGAATCTGTAAGGACTAAAGATGACACTCTTGTCCAAATGACAGAATGAGGCAGGATTCGAACGTGCAACCCAGTTGTTGAGAATCGAATGTTTAGACGACTATTTTGGAGTTCTACAGTAGCCGCTAAAGGTTCTGTTACACATTCATCTAGAAAGAAAATAATTAAGACCTTCAAAACAGATACGAAGTAGATGCCATTGCCAAGGATGCATAATTACCGTACTATTAAACTATATTCAAGTACTAACAACTCAAGCCAAAACTAACAACGTATTTTTTATACCAGCACTTACTGTTTTATTTGTTGCCACTTTTCAGTTTCTGGTATTTCATCAGATATACCTTCTGCCTTCTGACGAATTCGTTTTAAACGTTTGGCTAGACGAGCTTTTTTACGTGCTTTGGCTTGTTCCGCTTTTGAAAGAGAACGTCCCATAGTAGGTACATCGACCGGGATTTCCTCCTACGATAGTAAAAATAAAAACAACTAGGGCAAAATATAACACCGACTACTGATAATGATATAAGTACAAATATAAAAAACTGTACGGAATAGGTAGATGTAAGAAAATTCAGTTTGTCTACCAAGACTGAGTCAAACTTATCAACTCTAAATGATTGTCTAGATCCACGTAAAATTAGCAAGATCCAAACACAATTATCGAAGAACATGCCCCCAGAGTAATAAAAAAACAGCACAAAAACAATTGTGTGCATCATTTCAGCTCTCCACCTTACCATCCACAATCAAACGGCCAAGCAGGAAGATTTGTGAATACATTCAAGAGAGCTCTAATTAAGTCGAAAGGGGAGGCGAAGCCAGTGGAAACATTGTAGGACTTCTTATTCGTTTACTGAACGACACCTAGTGATATGATATCAGAACAGAAATCCCCGGCAGAGATCTTCATGAGAATAAAGTTGAGGACGATCTACAATGTGATGCTCCCGAGAACCACACCGTCACAGACCAAGTCCCAGAAGCTGCCAACACACGAGGTTGGATGTTCGATGTTCGTTCTGAACTACAGACCAAATCAAGGTCCCTGGACAAAATCACATATGGTCGGAAAACTAGGTCATGCCATGCACGAGGCAGAGGTGGTAAGAGACAGGCGAACTCGACACTGAGACCAGCTACGTAAGCGGCTAGCTCCAAGTAGTCCATCGACAGACGGAAATAACCCTCTGGACATCCTGTGGGATACCTCTAGTCTGTCCGTAGTCCCGAAGCAGGAAGAAGCACAACGACAAGTCGATCAACGATCCAGAAGGTGGTCGCTGCGACAATGGCGACAGATGGTCAAGATGCAAGTAAACCCCATAAACGTACGTTATTAAGAGGGGAGGTGTTGGGGATGTTAGATCCCCAGAACTCATTTCGTAAATGCCTTGTTTTTGTAATTCTATTTTAAGAATTTGAATTCCTTGTTTTCGCGCCAAAAGCACCCATTTTAACCTTCATGTCGTATTTCCCACTTGGGAGGACCTTAAATGATATTGTTTCGTTATCTTTTACGGTATGCGATTTTGTAACGTTTCCCAAGGACATATTTATGTTGCATATATACACTCGAGTTGTACTTATTGTGGTTGTTCGTGCTTCTGGCTGCTTGTAGAACATACTTCCCTCTTCTGAACTTGGAGTTCTCTCTAGTTAGCGGAATAGCTAGCTTATTGATCATTGTGTCACTGAGTGTTCGTTCTGTGCTCAAATTAGGTGAAATCGTAATCTCTTCAAACAAAGCACTATGATATTAAGGGATCATAAAGCAGGGGAACATTATTCAATCACTATTCGAGAATTTAAGAGTAGCAAAGCTTTAGAAGTACAAATCAGAAAATTTTCTCCCATTGTCATGTATTCATTGGGATAACCGTGTGAAATCATACTCAATGACAACACCATTTAATTTTAATGAGACTTAATATTCTGTTCATCCAGATTGTAAGAGAAGTGTAATCTCATCTCATTATAGAAGAATCGTCATTTATTAAATCACATGGTTATATACTGAGTGATTCGCTCATGTTCTGACAAAGGGAAATAAACTTCAACTTTTTCGCCATGAAAATAAATGTTATATACAAACTCTCAAAAACAATATTTGAGTTTAAACATTTCATACATAAATATTTCATTTTCCCACCTAGCTTTTAATAAAGACGTGACAGGAGCGAAATAAGTTAATAAAAATCCCATATATCAAGCTCAAACGAACTAGACCAACTAGGTCTTTCATACTAAAAAAATATTAACTACAAACAGATTACTTTTTTAACCATTATGGGTTTCCTCATATGTTTCTTTTCATCTTCAATAAACCAATCGGGCAAATCAGAGGACTTTTCAAAGAATTGATAACGATTATATCCTGATTCAAGTAGTTCACGTCTAGATTTTGCAGACAGAATAAGACGAGTGGCTATAGCACGCTCTTCCGCAGTTAATGGGCGATTGAGACGTCGTATACGATGTAAGGATTTCTCAAGTTTTTCAGCTAATATTTAGCAAAATTGAAAAAAATGAGGAGTTTGCAGTGAGGTTATGAATCCATGTTATGTTGACTCATTTTCTCCATTAAGATTGAAAAAAAAGAAAAATTTAGTCATCAAATTAAGCTGTTATTATTTCAATAGAATTTTTTCTAACTAAATTACATTAGTTGAAAATGTGGTAACTTCAATCAAGACACAATTGTGGCGTGTTTTACCTCAACTTAACTGTTTGCAACAACGCATCAAAAGGTACATACTCCATAAAACAGAGCAACTATGAATCAAAGTATGAAAATCAAGGAACACAACTCAAAAAAGCTTTTCATCTTGGAAAACATTCTACTTATCACACGGAATACAAGAAAAAAACTGAGTGATAGCTTGTAACGTTAATTCTGATCCACATTAGAGTCAGTCAGTCAGTAACAACGTGGAACTTCGTACGTACGTACATCAGTTCGAGTTGCCATACCACATTAGCACAGTTATCGCTTCAAATCCCATAGTGGTAGAGGTACTGAAAGTATAAGTAGAGATAGGGGACATTAAGGTTTGATGATGTTATTAAAGGAGTATAGTCCAGTGGAATAAATTGGGAAAGAAAATAAAGGACATGAAGAATTCAGAAGATTAGAGTTTGAGAGAACACAAAGAGTGGATGCACCTGCGCCATTGCAAACGATTTTGAGCCATGTCATTCAAGGTCTCTAACCATCGGTTGCTATCATCTCGCGGTCCCCAACCAGGTAGTCTACACCTACCAACATGACTCAGTCCACTTGTCAGTGACTTCATGGATTTGTGCCATGTTTTGGTCTGGCCGCCCCTAGCTTCCTTCCAACCTACTCCTACACCATAAAACATAGCACGTTGGGGCTTTCGGTGGTCAGGCATGCGCAGCACATGTCTCAGCCATCTCAACTGATTAAGTTTCACTACTTCCTCAATTGATTTGCCATCCTTACCTAGTACCCGTTTCATAACAACTGCATTACTTACTCGGTGGTCCCAGGATATACGAGCGATGTTTCGAAGACACCTATGGTCAAATACTAGTAACCTACGAATATCCTCTACTCTTACTGGCCATGTTTCACTGCCATAAAGTAGGACGGAACGAACTGCTGCGCAGTAAACTCGTCCTCTGGTTGATAGACGGATATCTCGCCTACGCCACAAATGACGCAAGTTGGCAAAAGCTAGTCGAGCCTTTTGTATCCGTGCTGAGATTTCGTCACACACCAAACCACAAGGGCTGATGAGACTTCTGAGATAAGTGAAGCGGTCGACACGCTCAACTACTTCACTCCCTATCCCTAGTTCGGGTGCCGACGCAACCCAATCCTGAAGCAGCATTTTGCATTTCGAGGGAGAAAATCGCATGCCGAACATGCTTGCATTGTTGCTTAGAGTGGTCAACAGACTCTGCATTTTGTCAGCGTCTTCACTAAATAGAACTATGTCATCGGCATATTCTAAGTCAACAAGTGGATCTCCCGGTAGAAGTTCAACTCCTGGAAATTTAGATGAGGAAAGTGTCATCTCTAAAAGGACGTCAACGACAAAGTTAAACAAGAATGGAGAGAGTGGACAGCCCTGACGAACACCACTTGAGGTAATCAATTCTGATGACAGTTCACCATAAACTCTCACTCGACCAGTTGTGTTCCAGTAGAGAGCCTTTATAAGGTTGATGTACTTCTTTGGTACTCCCTTCAGTGACAAACACTGCCATAGAACCTCACGATCAACAGAGTCAAATGCCGCCCTAAGATCGAGAAATACTACCATTGTGGGGCGTCTGAATGTGTGTCTATGTTCTAGGACCTGACGTAATGTGAATATTTGATCAATACAACCACGTCCAGGTCGAAAACCAGCCTGGTTTTCTCTAGTCTGCTCTTCACGAGCTTTGGTTAGACGTCGAAGTATTATTGAAGCTAAGATTTTAGACACTATATTAGTCAAACTAATTCCTCTGTGATTGTCACAGGAGGACTTTTGTCCTTTCTTATAGACTGGCACAATCAGTGATTGAGACCAGTCAGATGGGATTACGTTCAGTTCCCGGATTCTAAGACCTCAGTCAATCTCGCTGCTGATACCGGACCACCATTCTTAAAAATCTCAGGGGTAAACCTGTCAGGGCCTGTTGCTCTCCCATGCTTCAGATTTCCTATAGCTTTTTCAACTTCGTAACGAGTCGGAGGACTTACATCAACTTGCCATTCAGGTCGACTGAAGATCGTGGGAAACCGAAGTGTGGCTGAAGGCCAGTTGAACTGATCCCTAAAGTATTCTGCCCATCGATCCAATCTCCTGGATTGAGAATGAATAATATGTCCATCTTTCTCTGCGATTGTTTCGCTAACAGTTGAGTTCCTAATACCGGTTTCCTTGATAAGTCTGAACAGTTGTCTGCTGTTACCTATTGCCGCTGCCTTTTCCATCTCTCTTGCTTTCGCTACCCACCACTGTTCACGATCTTTGCGTAGGCTTCTAGTCAGCTTACGCTTAAGCTGACTCCGCTCTTCGTTATGTTCAGAGCCAGATGGAATGAGTTCTCGAGCATCTATCAGTGCGGTAGATGCTGCTGAGATCCAGTGTTTCTCCCTAACCTTATGGTTTACCGTACTTGCAGACATCACTGCTGTTTCTACAGCTTTTCGGATGTCATTCCACGCTGCCTCGGGGTGGGCGTCACTTACATGGCTGCCTAACTGTTTTTTCTAGTTGTTCCTGAAATATACTCTTAGCTTGACTATCATTAAGTAGGACCCTAAGCGTTTTCCATGCAGCATGTTTCCTACGTCCAGCAAGACGTAGACAAATACGCGCTCGCACTAGGGCATGATCTGAGTCTAAGCATGTGCTCCAGAATGAGCGACAGTCTTCTATCGAGCCCCTCCATCGGTTACTGATAGCGATGTGATCTATTTGGGTCCAGCGTTTAGACGAATTAGAGGGTCGCCATGTTAAAAGATGTTTTTCCTTAAAGTTAGTGTTTGCAAGAAACAGGCGGTTATCTGAGCATAGCTGCAACAGACGGTCGCCGTTATCTGTTCTTTGAACCACGACACCATAAGATCCACCCAGGTGTCTTTCCTTTTCGCTTAGTTTACCTACTTGAGCATTAAAATCACCAGCCACTATTACTACATCTGAACGCCTAGCTTTTCGGAGAAGGTCGGAAAGCTTTCTGTCAAACTCATCTTTTACATCATCTGAGCTGCAGTCAGTGGGAGAGTAGGCAGAGACGACGAAGAGGCAACGACGAGTGTCTCTATCTTTTCGAGTCCTTACTGTTCCGTTTAGTCGGACAGCACACAAACGACTGTCTACTGGGATCCAGTCTAAGAGAGCTAGTTCTGCCCTAGAACTTAATGCTATACCTACGCCAGCGAGGCCACGGGAAGCAGCATCAGGGTTTCCGGATACACGAAGCGTAAATCGAGTTGGTTCGTTACTTTGACATGGTGCGGTCAAATGAATGACACTACTAGGATCCTGTGTGCGCGCTTCGGAGACGCAGCACACATCGATGGAGCGAGATTCTAAAGTTTTAGCTAAGGAAGCTTGTTGTCCTATTTGGCACAGTGTTCGGACGTTGAAAGTTCCTACGTGTAGTTTAGAGCGTGGTTTCAGGAGATCAGGAATAACATTCCGCGTACTCGAATCGTTTGCACTAGCGTGGCGAGGTGATAAAGGGACGTAAGAAGGGTTAGTCGTGCAGATTAGAGAGTTATTAGGAGGTGTAGGAAGGATTTGAATGTGACCAACTTGGTCTCGTGTGCTGTTACGGGTATGAGGGCTGATGTCACTTCCCGGCTGCCCACACCGTGGAAGGGTATTTCTTGAGGAACCTGAAAAGAAAATCGGATTAGTGTTGGTCTTAGCGACCTGGATGCGTGACCACAGAGCCCAAGGGACAACTGCTTGAGGCCGATCGCGCACGGCCTTTTTGTGGGAGGTTTTTAATGTGCTAGCTCCGTTCTTCAAACGGCCTTACCGCCGGAGACGGAAATCCGTGGGGTAAGGTGAGGTGTGACATTTTTAGGGTCAACCTTTTCTAACCCCTTCCTTCCTTGTGAGAAGGCAGCATCGCTGCGGATGCTGGTTGTCCGATGGAAACACCTTACTGCTGTCACACCTCTGTACAGTCAGCAGTACGACTTCGCCCTCAGACCTTGAGTTCCTGCTTTTAGTCTTACCGTTCTCCAATCGACCTGCCTGGCATGGTAGAACCTGCAGGAACATGTGTTCCAGCCAATATAGCTCGGTTGGGTCATCACTATAGGCAAGCCCGACCACCACGTCAAGGTAGCAGCTACGGTCGGGCGATCCACATTAGATGTTTTATAAATCACTGATCTCCAGTCCAGAATAGAGTCCTATTCAAGTTATTGTACTTCAGACCATTATGGAGGGAAATCAGATAAAAAAAGGAAGAAAGGAGAAAAATTCCCTAGCAATCCTTATAGAAGAAAATAGCAAGCTGTTGACTCGTAATCACTGTGAATAACACAGATACACGTTGACAGCTATCAAGTTTAAATAACCGGGCAATTAATGGATAAATCTGATGTGTATTATCAAGTGGTCAAATAAATCAGCTGATTCATGTATAAAATAAACGGGGGCATTTATTAGTGCATATGAGAATCAATCTAGTAGCTACATAAAAAAGACGTTAACATCTACTCACATGAAACTTTAGGTATCGAAACTTCTGAAGATGGTGACACACAGTTATCTTGTAAACCAATAGCTTCATTATTAACCGTTTTCTTTTCATGTTTCTTTTTCTTTATCACAGTATCTGATGAATACTCAGACTTAGACTTTTTAGTTGAAGTGACCGTCGAAATATTCTCGTCTTCCCCTTCCAGTGGAGCAAGTATTTCCTGAAATTATATATATATAGTTTAACAAGTGCAAAATGAATATTTCAAAAAAATAGATGAATAAAGATAAGCAGAGGATAAAAGACAGAAGTTGAATCATTTAAAAAGCTCAAATGTTAATATAAGTCATATGGGAAATTACTAGCTGGTTCTTCGAGAATAGTGAACTAAAATAAACACTTTACTTCAAATATAATTTAAGAGTAAAAATGGTTCTCGATAGTGCAGGTTATCAATGACTATTTTAATGCCTTAGTAATATTTCAAGTGTAAACATTCAGCAATCAAATGACTGATCATGTTTAGGCAACTTGCAGGAAGTCATATAACTTTACTTTTTCCATTTGAAAAAGCAGCACTTTAGTAATTAAAGCACTAAACTTTCAACTACTAGGTTTGAGATTAGAAAACCAATCTACCGTAGTCCAGCGAGGAAGCTTTACCATTCTTCATATAACACGGATGAATCAAATGGAAATAGACTAACCTAGGCACAGTTAATTAATCACGCTCTTTTAAATTACTCTTTTCGAAACAGTTCTGATAACCAAATTCCAAGTTTTAGTAGCTAACCTAAAAACATGTAATATGCATTTCTGAAGACACCATAAATATTTAACCTACATAAATGGACAGAAATCAAAAACAAAAATTTTTGAGTGATACAATAAGCAAGAATTAAGCAGTCACACCAGTTATTTATGAAGTATGCAACAGTAAGACTCGTTTTAGATTGCAGTCATAAGGCACTTGAATCATCGTGATGCGTACTCAGTATAGAAATCTTGTAGCAAACCCTAAATTATGTGTCGATTGTAACAATGGAATATAATAAATGTATGAAAAGTCAATAACTGAATATTTGAAAAATCCATTGAAGATGAAACAATAATCAAGACAATTCTTACTTGAATTTTATCCGAACCAAACCATGAATCGATTTTGCGTTTCTTCTTGACAATTTCTTCAGAATCGTCCAAATCTACGAGCAAAGGGTTCCTTTTACCTTGTTCAGAAGTAGATAAAACTAATCCAGGCGGTAGGATCATTTGTCGTTTGGATTTAACTATCCTGTTATTCGAATGGGATTTTAAAGAAGGCAAATTCGACAAACTGATACTATTTGAATCCCCATCGATTTCTGAAGATTCTTCTTCTGAACTTAAGGTTGAATTTCGATCTTCACCATTTTCTTTACCCGACTCACCGTCACTGCTTTCTTCAGAACTCAGATATAAATCATCACGTTGGTTATGGGCTACAACCATGAAGCAAAATATATAAAGGTTTCATATTTCCAGTCGTAGTGGTCTGTTCAATTGGAAGCAAAGTGTCTAACATGAGTAACCTATTTGAGACAAAAAAACACAGTTGCGCCAACGTTGCATAGACGAAATACATCTATGAACTAATTGGATATAACTATATTTGAGGTCCGAACAAGTCGATGACTTATTATACGAGTCTTATGAGTTGGCTTACTTATTTTTTAAAAGAAGCGATTTTATATTTATATAAGTTTATATGAAACACTGAAGATTTTGCATAGTTTGGAATCCAGTAATTTGGGGACATGTAATTATGATGTACAAATCTGTAAACGGTCTCTAAACCATGGTACAATCAAACATCTAATTCACTAATGAAACTCAATCTATTTATAGCACTCAAAAGTTCAAGTGCATTTAAATGATGAGACAATCTATGTTAAAGAAAACCTCATACTAAACTGGTATGAGTATGTAGCATCGACTGAGTTACAATGCACGCGATTTGGACGAATTGGAGGTTGCTTGGATTTAAACTAAATCGTTAACCAGGCACACACTTATGTACTTGGTTTTGAGCTGCACTCTAAGTATGAGGGCTGATGATACTAAACAGTTTTTCATACCAAAATACGTAAGGCAACGTTTTAACCTGCGACTTAGTAACTACGAGCTGATCGCCTTGATGATGTTAGGGAATTCCTACTCACTGTCTTCTTGAGGCGAGGATGTTATTTACGACATTGAGAGAACAAAAAGTGAATGTCCAGTGTCTTAACTAGGTTGGTGGATACAGAAAATCCACCTAGAGGAGTTGGAAAACTCTGATTCCAAACCAACGGTTCACATGGACTCTAGGATACTGAGCGGACAAATAGCATATGAACCTAATATTGATCATTGGCTACTATAGAACTGCATCGCCTAACGTTGCTTCACTTATGGATTAAACATCCAGATCAAAAGCCCGGAGAGTGGCTCCCTAAGAAAACTACCTGCTTTGGTTTGGGCGCCCGGGCAGAATCCAAGTCCTTACACAAATCGAATGGCAAAGTGTGGTACATAGGTATTCGGTGCCTCCTTGTACTAATATTTGTGTTTAAATAAATAAATATACATGCATGAAACAGATTTGGTGGAAAAGAATTACGAAACGAAATTTGTGACATTCAAAACATGTGAGAGATCTTATTAAAATGTAAAAAGCACATAGTATAAGAATTCAGTTATCCTACAAGTGCAAAAAATTGCTTTTTGTATTCAAATACAAAATCCGAGGTTTACCTAGATAACAAAATTGTTAAAAATATAACCACGCATAAGGTTTGTAACAAAAGTTGATATCTTTTATATTTTACTATCTAATACATAAACTTTTGGGGAAGAAATTTAATTTCTAATATACCAAGAAGCAAGCTCACCATAAATTTCACCAAACAGTTCACTGTCAGACAAATGTTCATCAGATTGATTGCCAGAACGCCTCTCAAAATGAACACGTTTTTTCCCTTCTACTGCTGAACACCTTTCATCAGCTAGACGTTTACGTTTGGCTTTCAAAGCAGCATCGATTTGTTCACGTGCTAAATCATCTGCACCAGTGTTACTGGTGTCCCCTGACAATTTGTTAGACTCTTCTAAACCAACTAAATCCTTTACAGCAGCTAAGGAAAACAACTCGTCATCATTTTGTTCAATATAGTCAGATTCGTGTGACATTTTTAGTACATAGCGCTCTGCAAGTTTTCGTTTCTCTTTTCTAACCTTTTTTATTTTTCTAATTATAATATAGAAAGTGGAAACGTAAAATAATAAGTGAATCAATAGTTCATTATAGTTTAAAATGAAAATTGACGAAGTGTGATTGTTCATTTCAAATGTATAAAATCTAAAATTTGAAGTAAGATTAGGCAACAATGTTGTGAAATAACGATGGAAAATATCAATGAACAAACTACTTGGTTGTTGCGAGTAAAAACACCAAACACTAATCAAATTTGTAACACATTAGCACTGATGAATCGCATTTCACGTACAAATAAAAGCCTGAAATGACGTTAAAAAGGTGCTTAGACCAATGAATTTTTTTAGAAAGAAAAAGTATATACAAGTTGACCGACTCAACTCCATCACGACAAACTTAATTTTACATAAATAATTCACTGCTGTATTCGCCAAGTCAAGTTATTTACTCAGCAATGAACCACAATTTAAATACAAAGATAAGTGATCCCATGTGCCTGCTCAAACCGAGAAAGATGGATCACAGTTCAAACCTGTAATTCTATAGTTTAAATTCAAGTTCTTTAACCGATAAGCCACCACACTTTATCACCACTTCCATTTGCTGTGTTTAGCTTACGTATTTGTCATTCATCTAAGTCTGGTTAGATATTCAATAGCTATAGTCTATGTTTAAATTTTGAATATATATGTTTATTGTCCAGCTTAAACTCTATACAATTTGGGGATAACCCCTGTTGAAGTATTAATGAGTGACCAAATCAGTCAACGCAAACATATGATAACTGACAAAAAAATACATGGTTTGTTTCTCTTACATTCTTATCGAATACTTTTTGGTGCTTTATTGTATGTTTTTATGATATAAATTAACTAATAAAATATCCGACTCTCATAAACAACAGCCTTAATAAATCTATGTTAGAAAGCAGTAGGATGCCGATTACCTACACTTTAAAACATCTAAGTAATAACGACATAGAAATTATTCATTATATAAGCAATTCCTAGAGAAATATTTGATACCAGTTGGAACCTTAATGTTGCTTTAAAAATGATAGTAAGTAGTCAGATATCTCAGAATGTGTTTTCAAAATAGTTAAGACCTATGGAGTTGTGAGTTACTTTTTCTTCAGTTTTTCTTCCTCGTCCAACAACCTTTGAACTTGTGTCTCGACTTCCAAATCGTCTTCATCCTCATCAGTACCTCTTTTAGGAAGAGTAGATTCTTCATTACTGTCTTTGGACCTGAGAACATAAAGAACATCTAGAGTAAGCATTTTACAGTTCGGAATAAAGATTACGATTGATTGACACGAACGACAAGCCTTTATTGATTACTGGCATTCAAATTACTTTTCAAGAAAACTGCAAATACCTTACAATTACCTCCATTAAAACATCAAGGTTATTATACTTGCACAGTTAAGGTTTACGAAATGCAGTCCAGAGATTCTTTGTCGTGTATGGTTTCCAGTTAACTGTTGTTTTAAGACTGATTTACGTACAATTTCAGTATAGAATTGATGTGAAAACTAACCCACCAAAAAAGCGTACCTTGATCGATGTTTTTTGGATGAAGATATTAAACTAGGAAAGATTATTAACTTCAGTATTTTATAAGATATAAGTCAAGTAAACGAACATATCATACAAAATAATCCCTATCTTCATGCTAATAGTTATACAACCTTGGTATACAACCACCATTTTATTAACATTAAATCTATTTGATGAATTCTAAAAATTTAAGTACGATAAGAAATAAAGATGAGGCATAAGTGTTGACTTACTCTTTTGATCCAGCTTTAAAGACATTGAGAATTTTCATCCTCCATTTGAGAAGATTTCTAGAGAGCAAAATATTGAAATTATAAGCGGGTTTATGAGTAATAAAATCAAATTACTATACATCCATCTTTACGTAGATAGATTATGACGAAGGTTTTAACTCAACTCGTTTTGAATGAGATGTCTGTGAAAGTGAAAAGAGGATAAATCTGCTTGTTCTGGTCTAAATGTTAAGCTCAATTGTAGTGGCCATACCGTATAGTGAAAGCCAGATCGGCTTATGCCAATCTGGGCCATCTTTGGCGCCTTCGTCTGGCTGTAGAAGGTCGGATCTACAACGCGTCGGTGAGAGCAGTTTTGCTCTATGCTTGTGAAACCTGGCCTCTCCGAGTTGAGGATGTTAGACGACTCTCTGTGTTCGGTCATCGTTGTCTCCGAAGGATTGCTGACATCCAGTGGCAACACCATGTCAGTAATGCAGAGGTTCGGAATCGTGTGTCCGGGAACAGAGACGATAATGCAATTGGTGTCACCATTTTGAAACATCGACTTCGGTGGCTTGGACATGTTCTACGAATGTCGTCACAGAGAATTCCACGTCGTGCATTATTTGCCGACTCTGGGACTGGTTGGAAAAAGTAGAGAGGTGGTCAGTATATGACATGATGTCGTGGTATGAAAGAAAGCTGCAAAGGGCTAGCTTCTGTTGGTCCTTCACTACTCCCTGACTGTAGTCCTAGAGATGGTGTAACACAGTGGCTAGAGACGTTATCATATATGGCTCAGAATAGAAGCCAGTGGCGATCCTGATGTAATCTTCTTTTACTTTCTTCATAAAAAGTGGTTGTAACTTCCTTAACTGAAAGATTTCTTCTGGTTGTACCTTTCGGTTTCCCCCATTATTACTACTATTATTAAACTAGCTTACACTAGTCTGGTCATTATTGTTCTTCTTTTTACCTCTTTTACGCCCCTTACCTTCTTTTTTTCCTTCCCATTCTCATTGTTTTGTGTGGCGTATATATATTTGGTGCCCCCTTGTACCAATATTTATGTTCAAATAAATAAATAAATAAGATAATATATGTTTTAATATATTAATGTCAGTATGTGTTTTAGATGATATAAGTGATTGATAAATCATTACATTTCAAAGAAATAGAAGGAATTTACCATTGATGAAGTCTGATCAGTAGATGACATTGAAATACGTGCAACATAATCGACACCAATACGTTCTGCTTCATCAGTTGCTAAAGTATATAGTACCTGGAATAAGAGATACCCATGGTGGTCTAACATTCGTCGGTTCGTGATCTCAATTAAAAATACCCTAGTAATAACGATTTTTGGAACTCGTCACTCTACATCAACTTCATTGATTATGAGAAGGCATTTGACAGTATAGATAGGAGGACGTTATGGAAACTTCTTCGACACTACGGAGTTCCTGAGAAGATTGTCAACATTATCCGGAACTCATACGACGGACTACAGTGCAAAGTAGTGCATGGAGGACAGCTGACAGACGCATTCCAAGTAAGGACCGGAGTAAGACAAGGCTGTCTACTCTCTCCCTTCCTGTTTCTTCTGGTGGTCGACTGGATTATGAAGACCTCGACATCTGAGGGAAACCACGGCATACGATGGACAGCTCAGAACCAATTAGACGACTTGGACTTCGCAGATGACCTAGCCCTCCTATCACATACACACGAACAAATGCAGATAAAGACAGCCAGCATAGCAGCAGTCTCTGCATCAGTAGGCCTCAACATACACAAAGGGAAAACCAAGGTCCTCAAACACAACACGGAGAACAGCAATCAAATCACTCTTGATGGCGAAACTCTTGAAGATGTGGAACCCTTCACATACCTGGGAAGCATCATCGATGAACAAGGAGGTTCAGATGCAGACGTCAAGGCGAGGATTGGCAAAGCTAGAGCGGCATTCCTTCAACTGAAGAACATATGGAACTCAAAACAACTTTCAACCAATATCAAAGTCAGAATCTTCAATACGAACGTCAAGGCAGTTCTACTGTACGGAGCTGAAACTTGGAGAACTACAACAACCACCATCAAGAAGGTACAGGTATTTATTAATAGCTGTCTACGCATGATACTCAACATCCATTGGCCGGATACCATCAGCAACAGCCTTTTGTGGGAGAGAACCAACCAGCTTCCAGCTGAAGAGGAAATTAGGAAAAGACGATGGAAATGGATAGGACATACATTGAGGAAATCATCAAACTGCATTACGAGACAAGCGCTAACTTGGAATCCTGAAGGGAAGCGGAAAAGAGGAAGGCCAAAGAACACATTACGTCGGGAAATAGAAGCCGATATGAAAAAGATGAATAAGAACTGGAAAGAGCTTGAAAGGATTGCCCAGGACAGGGTTGGATGGAGAATGCTGGTGAGCGGCCTATGCTCCTTCACGAGGAGTAACAGGCGTAAGTAAGTAAGTAAGTAAGCAATCATCGCTACCATTGGAAGAAAATCAAGTATATGTTGTTAAACAGAACTACGTCGGAGAAAAATAAACTTGCGAGAACTAAATAATTCACAGAACACACAGCTTTATAATTTATTATTCATACAATATACTATGCAGAATCTTTTAAAACAATTCAAGTCTCAAAATACCTTACGAAATGAAACTGTACGAAAAGTACAACTTACTTAATATCGCTTTTTCCAAGGACTTGAATATCATTAAAGTCTTCCTTGATTAAAGCGGTAGTTAATGGGTGGCATGCAATTTCCGGAACATCAAAAATAACCTACGAGTCACTAACAGTCAAACTGAATACCTTGTTGGCCTTCGCAAGAGCCTCCAGAGGATCACTTGACTCCAAAAATTTAGATAGTGGAAGCTCATGATACAATGTATCTCCCTCATCATAACCTTCAGCCTTCCTTCAAAATCAAATAAATGAGAAAACGGACCTACTTTTTGCGGCTTTCCTTTAAAAAAGAGGAAACCAACGCAGCGCGGTCTTTTGGTGCATCAACTTCCCCAAACACATGTCGTGCATCCAAGAACTTGGGATCAATACGTGCAGGAGCGATATAATTCTGTCCAACAAGAAAGATTTCTGCAGATTCGAGTCGAGAGGCTTCAGGTTTAATAGCACGTACAGTACGGAAAAATTGAGATAGAACCCACTTAAGCGGTTCATAATCTCGACTCCTAAAAACCTTAGTGACAAACCAGCCACCTCTGCGTAAGAACTCAGTTGCAATCGCAAATGAATTGAGCGAAAGTACGGCTAACGAGGATATTTTATAACAAGAACTAACCTTGGCCATATTCATCGATTGACCAGGCAGCCCCCACATTCGGAGCACCATCGTGTAGCACAACATCAGCCTTCAAATCGTTTAACTCGTTTCGCAGAATCTAGTACGAAAAAATTAAAGTAATGTTATCAAACCTGTTTGCATTTATCAGTCGTTATATCGGCAACAAACGTCTTAACTTTTGGAATAGGGTGAATAGGCACCAAGTCTACCCCTAAAATATGGCTAGTCATTGGCATTTCCTTGGCTGCAACTTGCAACCAGCCTCCAGGAGCAGCGCATAAGTCTATTAGAACTTTGGAGGAATTTAGAAACTTGAAGCGACGATTTAACTGGATCAACTTAAACGCTGCTCTAGATCGGAATCCTAATATGGAAAATGAGTAGTCTCAAATTTATCCTACCAGTTTCCTTTGCAAGAAAATAAAACTTATCCTTCCTCGCTTTCCCTGTTTTTATTTTCTTCCCCATGCCTCTTTGTGACGAAAATATTTAAAATATTTGCCGTAGTTATTGAAAATCGAATGTCATCAAACCTCAAACTTTAAACCTTCCTGAGTAGAAGTAGTCAGCCAAATGTCTCCTAGAGTAGTCTCCTAGAGCAGTAGAAAAGCTTCATTGGTAATAGTAGGATTTTATGTACAAATTCTAAATAATAAATTCAAATGGTTCAAATGTTTTGGACGGCATAAAATAAGCATTCGCTTAACGAATTCTAGTGGTAAATAAACCCCCAAAATAAATGACTCTGTAAATCTTAGACATCGGATGCTGAACATATTGGTTTTGATGGACTCACCTAGCTGAAGGCGTTCGACCATGCATCCGCAGCAGTTCACGAGTGGAAACGCCTTGCTCAACAACCCCTGCAACCGCTAGCCAGTCTGGATCAGTCGATCCTCAATATATCGATAGCCTTTCAAATTTATCTTCTAACCTCGCTTCTGTCTTTTGATTTCACTTGGTGGATACGATTCATAGTAAAAGGTATTATTGGTTAAAGCGCTGTCAAACTCCAAATACCTGTGACATCTTCAGAGCTACCGTATCCAGTAACAAAGGATCACCGATCCTTTGCAGTATTAGTTCCCTAATCTTATCGCGGGTTACAAGGTAATCCAATCATGGCTAATCGTATGCTGAACGGTGATTTTGGTAATAGTATATCATATCTTTCCCTTCCCTTTAGGACTGATCATCTGAGCGAACATTCTGAAACAGCTCAAAAACTGAAACCAAATCCTTCACATTTGGAGTTCCTTTTCTCGCACCGAGTAGTGAATTGTTAGAATGATCTACCAGAACACGTAATATCAGCAACTTCTTTTGACAGGTTCAAAGCTAGATTGAACCTCTACAGTGCTACAAATTGAAAAGGATTGACATAGGTTGATAAATCTCTTGCTACTATTACTGAAAACTTAAGACTAACTCTTACTATGATGAAAAAAATAAATCGGCTATCAAAAGCAGAAGTGATCATGGACTAACACCGTCAAAATCTCTTGAACTAGAGCAAACCTCAGGCATTCTTTAAAAGACTCTACAGAAGGTGTCGTTGCTATTGCTTTGGTAAGGAATCCCACACTTTGCCTATTTACTCCATTGCTACTAGACATGGGAGATCGTTGAGCAAGAACTTCTTTTATTCAGTCCTCAACTATTTAAACCATTTGATCACAAAACGTTTATTATGGATTTTTATAAGAATTCACTCGAATTTTTTACTAAAGCAATGTCACCTAAGCTTCGTTAAATATTCAAATGTATTAGTGACTTTTAATTAAAAAGGAATGTGAAAGCATAACCTCTTAACCTCTTCGTACTTCGCAGATTGCTAAATATTTGCTTTGCCCTTTCTGTCTTGGTGGGTTGATTCTATCATGATTTCAACTATTGAAATAAATTATATGCAAAAAGATGAATTCCTGAACCACTTCAATTTATGCCGTTGATCAAATTAATCCTTACCAACAGTCTTTTAGTTGCACTTCATGCCCTTCCTCTTGTGTTCAAGTAGCAAAGTAGTCTTAGTTTGAAATCATTAGAAGCGGCAAGAGTGTGGGGATCCAGCATGCAATTAGCAGAACTCATCAACATTCAGCTCACAAAATTCATCATCAAGTGTTCAACTTCTCTAATGACCAGCAACATACTGCTCTTGTAGTAACTCACCAAGCCTGATTGCTTCAGACATCAATTTAACAGCTGACAGTATATTAATGAAAAGCAGTTATACAATGTATTAACAGGCACTAACAATAGTACGAAATGTATTGTGTCCTTCTTCCTGTGCTAAACTAATGATGCATTAACCAACACGGTCAGTCTTGAGTCAACTTTGGATTGGGATTGATTCATTGGAAACTTTTATTTAACAATGATTTTTAATTTCGTTCAAGACATATGTATTCATTGTGTTGCTCCGATTGCTTTCTGACTATCAGGCCCTAAGGCTTGATGGACAAATATCGCGTGGATCATAAGTTTTTTGGCTGGCGCTTATTCCGAGTTTGGTGGGGCCATTTAATTCTGGACTCAGAGCCTCATTTACAGAATCTTCTGTTTGTTGGCCCCCTGGCACTGCTGCAATTTCAAGTGCATTTACCATGACATAGTCTTGCTGGACGATTCATTAATTCTACATATTTCTTCGGATAGAAGTGGGTTTAGACCAACCACGCCTGACCATTTCTGTCACCTTGACGTGGTGGTTGGGCTTGCTTATCGTGATGAACTAATCTAGTTACACTGGCTGCAAGAATCGTTCCTCAATGTCCTACCATGCCAGATCACCTCAAACCCAATTTCCTTTTCAGGTCACTCTAGGGAAACCCTTCCACGGTGTAGACAACTGGGAAGTGAAAATCGTCCTCATACCTCTGACAGCACTCAAGATCACTGTATTCATAATCAACCTCCCTCTTCAGTTCCTATTATTCCTCCTACATCGACTTTCAAATCTAGACTTCCTCTTTTGGCTTCCTCCTCAAGTGTCACAGTAACCAAAGATTTTAATGTGCGAAGCATTGTCTCAGGTCTACTGAAACCTCGCTTTGAACTACGCGTTGAAGCCTTCAATGTACGCACCCTGTGTCAAATCGGCCAGCAGATTTCTTTGGCTAAAACCCTAGAATCTCGTACAACTGAAGTATACTGTGTATCCGAAACGCGCACACAGGATCCTAGTGTGATCGTTCACTTGACCCCACCTTGCCAAGACGTAGAGTGACGAGATACACCCTCCGTATACCTGGCGACCTGATGGCTAGTTCTCGTGGAATGGCAGGTGTAAGCATAGCACTAAACACGAGGGCAGAACGAGCACTATTAGGATGGACTGTCGTTAACAGTCGTCTATGTACTGGTTGGCTAGACGGCTCCGTAAGAACTCGGAAGGACTGGAACACACTTTGTTATCTTTTCGTCATTTCTGTCTACGCCCTCACTGACCGAACCCTGGATGAAATGAAGGACGACTCTTACAGAAAGCTTTCTGAACTTCTTCAAAAAGCTAAATGCTCAAACATAGTACTTATAGCAGATGACTTTAATGCTCAAGTAAATAGCTTAAACCAAGTAGAAAGACATTCAGGTGGGATCAGAAAACAAATAGTGGTTATCTTTCGTTGCAACTGTGCTCAAGCAGTCATTTATTTCTAACAAGGACTGAGACATCATCTAACATGGCGAACCGATACACCAAACCAACGATGGACTCGAATAGACCATATTACCATCAGCCATCGTTAAATACGCTCAACGGAAGACCGCTGATTGTTCTAGAGTACATTGTCTAGACCTTGATCATGTCCCAATATCAGCCTCATTGGACGCAGAAAAACCCCAATGAGAAGATTCATTAGAGTTGAACTGAGTGACCGAAAGTAGATTCCAGAAACAACTGAGGTCACACTTGTGAAATCCTGTAAACGAGACTGACCCAGATGTTGCTCGGAAACATATACAAACAGCTGTGGAAACAACAGTGACATCTATTAGTGATTTAAACTAAAGGGTTACAAAGAACCAATGGATTTCTTCAAGGCCTATTACCTTGATGGATTCTCGTAAACCCATCCCATCAGGTTCTGAACACGATGAAGAGCGAAAATAAATCAGACCTTGGTTAAGCGAAAGTCTAAGAGATGACCGTGAGTAGTGGTGGGCAACAAAAGCAAAAGAAATTGAAAAGGCAGCGGCTGTAGGCAACGCAAGACAACGTTTCAGACAAATAAAAGAAACCGGAATTACTAAGTCAAGTGTAAGTGATACCATCTCGGAAAAAGACGGCACTCTTATCTGCTTCCAATATAGACGTTTGGAACGATGTGAGGAATACTTTATGGAGCAGATCAGCTGGCTTTCAGCCACTCCACAACTACCCACCATTCCCAGACAGTGTGAATGGAACATTGAAGTAGGTCCCCCAACTCTAGCTGAAGTTCAAAAGGCTATAGTTAATCTCAAACGAGGGAGAGCAGCTGGTCCAGATGGATTGGCTCCAGTGGTCTTTAAGGATGGTGGTCTAGTTTTAGCAACTAGGTTGACTTATATTTTAGCTAAAAGCTGGTAGTTGGACGAAATCTCATGTGACTGATCGCAATCACTGATTGTCCCAATACATAAGAAGGGGTCAAAATCATCCTGTGATAACCGTAGAGGGACTAGTCTGAATAATATAGCATCCAAAATACTAGCCTCAACAAATATCGGGTGCCTAACTATGACTCAGTGTTTTATTTTTCTCACCCTGAAAATTTTGCAATTTTATACTGTTTTATATCATTCGATTTACTATTAGTCCTTACCACCTCTAGACCACATATAATCTAACTTGCTTTTTTACTTTTATCATTAGTCATCTTCATAGCAGTTTGATATACTAAATGGATGTCTAACCCATAATACAAATGCTTTAACCATCTGATTTGCTAGTAATATGGAACTAGTAGAGACAGTGTATTCCAACCATGGGCTTTGATTAAAGCAATATTCATTTTGATAAATTACGGCTTCTTATGGTCTAATAGAATGTCACAAACTAATGGTATTGATGCTGATTTATTATGCAAAGTACCTCATTAAATCGTGTTTAGAACGCTGAATTAGTTTCACTTCCTACCGAGCAATCCTATTGCAAGCAAACTAGACAATTCGCTAAAAACGAAACTTAATCAACACTATAAAATCTACAAAACTAGTGGGTTCGAATAGCTTCGACAAAAATGGGAGACAGTCATTTGTGTACCAGAATACTGTTTTCAGATTTATGTTTTATAACTACACATAATCCCATACTCTCAGCTTCTTTCTGAACCAACTCTATTTGCCAGTTGTTTATCCACTTATAATTTCTTTACACTTATTTTCGTTGACCTATTAGAATGTTCTTGCTTAATAAGCACCTTAATAATAGAAAATTGGACTGAGTAGTTATACTTCAATTATTCCTTCATGAACATTATCTGCTCTGCTTCTCGTCCTTTATTTTCTCGCAACCTTTCTCAGC